CAAAACAAATCCAGGTGGAAAGTGCTATCAGAAGAGTGAATTTTTCATTTGTTGCGCTCATTGTGAAAGACTTTTTTTTAAACACTTCATGCTAGATTATCGCATCCGCTTATGATAGGTAAAAGTTATTCTACAGTGAATATGAAATTTACAACAATAAGAATAGATTTTTTGTAATGTTGGTGGTTGGATTAGGTGTCAGACAGTTTGACTAGGAACTGACTCGCTTCCAGCAGCTAGAAAGTCGCCAAAGGCGGTAAAACTAGCATAAAAAGATTTTTCCAACTTGGAGGAAAAAGTCCTGCAAAATGCAAAAACGCCGCCGCCCATCAAACCCGATCCTTGGCCCCATGCTTGTGAAGCGTCACGCTTACCTCCACTCCAAGCCGCCACTGCTAGGCTTGCGGCGACCATGGCTTATGTGCTTTTCCCCTGTTGAGCGCCCTCCGGAGACCACCTCCATAACTTCGTTCAGAGAATCGTTTGGCAGATTTTGAATGCAGATTTGAAATCAGCATCAAAAAATACGTTTAGCAGTATAGGTCTCATTTCAAATGGCCACTTCGACTTGGGATCCTTCCCTTGTAAGTCGCGAATCTTTGCATTAGGAAGCCACTGAGTTACGATTCACCAGCTGGTCCGGTCTGGCTAACATACGGCTTTTCTTCTTATTATGACGAAGACGGAAAAGCGCTAAAGCTATATCGTGTGTAATCCCAATCTATTGTTTTCGACCAGAAGTAATAACTCACTAAGAACATAATCCTGTCCATTAATGATTCATCCAATGCACCGACACTTCTATATCTATAATGAACTGATCTGTCAACAATAGCCTCGAATGATTCTAACTGATATTATCGGCTGAATCCTCAAAATTAATATTTGCGTGAGCCTTTTCGAAGCCAATAATACAGTGCCATCCTAATTGTTCGAAAAAACTACGGAAACGCTAGCTTGTGTTTATTCGTCTTTTCTTCATGACTGACTTAATTTGCATTTTTTTATATAAAATCTCCCCTAATTCAATCGAACCCATCGATCTCTATGAAATGAAGAGCTGGAGATTTGAAAAAAACTACATTTTGAAATCCACGGCCCGCCAAACTTCTCGGGGCACATAATTAGCAACGACGACGCTCTTCGAAAAAAAAAACATGCAACGAACCGGGTTTGAATGATGAGATACATCTGCCTCCTAAACATAGGACTACAGTTTGTAAGCTATAAAGAAGTACTAGTCTCAAAGTATAGGCATAGATTCACTGAAACTAGAGATTAACTCGTATGTGCACGTTTCCATTTCGAAAAACCGTTATGATTCGAAATTAGCGTATGCCTAAATTCAACCATTTTTGAAAAATGGTACCGAAATGTTAGTACAACCTGGGCAATGCAACGGTCTAGCTTTCGTTCAGCTTCAGAATATGATAGCTACTCTACAACTCAATCAATCCTCTCAATGGAAGCGAATGCCCTCTGGTTAAATTTATAGCGTCCCTGCTAATTAAATGCTCTCAGGAGCTTTGACGTGCCCTTGACTCAAAAACGTACCTTTTCCAATTTCCAGTTCAACTCAGTTCAATTAGCCTTTTTGTCATTTCTGAACAACTAAGAAGGGTAATGTATTAATAGCTTCAAACAGGCTCATGCAATCATTAACTTATAGGAGTATTACGAACGAACGAATATCCCTGAAGAAAAGAAGGAGCATAGGCGAAGACAACTTAACCGTTGTTGTGATCAGCAGACAATATCAGAACCGTTCGAGGCTTCTGTTGACGGATCAGGTTACTCGGCTACAACAGTTTCAGGCACTGGATGACTCAATCAATGGACCGGATTGTGTTTTCACAAGACAGGAATGCTTTGGCCGTGTCTCACGAGCGAAGACGATCCATTGGACTACTCTGGCTCGCGATAGGGACAAATGGAGACTTTGCTGGCGCAAGCTCGAGGAAATCGATGAATACCGAGACAATAGGCGACAGGTAACAAGCGATCAGTCTCCACAATTCGCTGTTAGTCCCGTTTGCAAGGTACCATCACACACTATTTCACCCGCCAAACTGTCAAGCTTTCATTGCTCACACGAAGGGTTTTACAGACTCATGATCCTTGCTTTGACGGCTCTCTATCAGTCCTTACCATAAGCTATCAGCCCTTGTCACCAACCATCGATAACCTTCAGAGGGTCAAATTACCGCAATGAGTCCGAAGAGCGTAAGGGACCCAGCGGCTCTTGCCCTCTACCTATGGCTTCTTATCAGTCCCTTTCAGTTTTTACCCGTCGTGTTACCAAGCTATATGGTCTCTTTAGACTCACACTGTCCACCAAAACGTAGAGTTCCACTGTTACCACGAAGGGTCTGATGGGTCCCGTTGCTCCTGCTTTCTAAGCCTCTTTATCAGACCCTACCGATCGATACTACTTTCTACCAATCACCGTGTATCATGGGTGCGCTGTGAATATTTACCACTATTAAACTGCAATCTGATCATGTTCCAGTTATCCCAGAGGGCTTGAACTCAAAATCAACTGGAAATACAAACATTGGTCCTTCTTGGATTTCTTTCCTTTTTCCATGATTTAAGTGTACGAGCGCCAATGCCGAGCACAATAGAGGAGAATAACGCACATAAGGTTCGAATAACTGCCGACGACACTAACTTCGTTTAAGCGATGTCTGCTACCGCGAAAAACACCCTGCTCTCAGTTATGTGGATGTTGCTGCTCTGCCGTCAAACAGGGTCGCTGGTGTGAAATGTGCTTTAGTCAAACATATCAAAATTTCGCGCGGCTTGCTCCACTAATAAAGAAGTTATGATCGAAAAAGCGTTTGAGCGTTTGACGGGATACTTTGAGCGCTACTGTATATAGGGTGCACCATAATTATGGTAACAACTTTTCGGACGTTCAAAATTTCCTTGTTTGGAGGGTTTCTCCAAATCTGCACCTTCCCTCGTGTTTATGATATACCTCAGACCACACATCTACTTTGATGCTCTCAATTCGTCAGTTTCCGAAAAACGGTGGAGTCTCGCAGACATCCATCGGCCGTTCCTTCTTTGCGCGCATTTGGTGAGTCCCTTTCCGGGATCGCTCCTCGTTTCAACATTTTCCCCACTGACAGTCTCGAATCGCGATGTGTAAACAGGTCGGAGCAAACCTTAAGACGATCGTCTTGCCTCACATACAACCCCTTTTCCGAATAGAATTACTTGGGAAGGAGTACGCTGCAAAACCTGCCGACGAGAAAAATGACTGCTGGTTGCATGTATGTTCTACTCCGATGAGAAGAGTCTACCGCTAGTAAATACAATTGTATCCAGATAAAATTTGGAAGCCATATAAGCTTCTTGATGAGAAAAAATGGGAGAGAGAGAACAAATGCCGTGCGCTAAGGAGAAATGTTTAGACCCCAATGTACACATATGTATATATATATATCACATTTCGAGTGCTGAAGCCGCTGAGAAGAGTCAGATCGCCTCTCAAAGCCATTTCTCCTTCTTGATGATAGTTTTTGCTAGGAACTCTACCATCAGAGCGATATCGCAAATTTTGGTTGAAAAAAGTACAAAGTTTATTCCGACACCTTTTGAGAAGGATCCTTCTGAAAGGATGCAGCTGAGGGTCAAAGATTTCTCAGGGATACGATTTGAAAACTATGGCGCACCTGCCCAAGGATGGGAAAAGATAAGATTGGTGCTTAGGGTATGTTCGCGACTTTATTTCAGCTTCCAATCCTCCTACGAATTTCCCGGACCACAAAGTGATGGGCTGCTGGATATGGTTTATGCTGGAGAGGAAAGCCTGCGCTTTATAACGTAAACATAAATATAGACGTAAACATAACTCATAAGAAACCATTGAAAAAATCCCAGGTTGGTGTTCCTCAAAAAACTCTGTGTGACGCCGTCGATGAGTAGCCAAAGCATCTTTGAGCCACAATTAGTACAGGAGACGGTCATATAAGATTACCGTGTGTTCATTTCGTACAAGTGATGCATAGTAAATAACTCACATGAATTCACCATGTATCAATATGGACTGCGGTTTTTGTAGCCCAATTCTTTTGTTACCATATTTATGGCGCACCCTATA